AGACAGGGTCTCCCTATGCAGGCTGGCCTTGAGCTCAAATTGTAGCCCAGGCTGGTCTTGAACTCACAAGGATCCTTCTGCCTCAGCCTCCGGAGTGCTGGGATTGCAGGCGTGCGCCACCACACCCAGCCTCCACGGATCTTTTTGTTTTGATTTTTTGCTTTATGCTTGTTGAGGATTGAGGCCAAATATCTCTGCGTGCTAGGCCAGCACCTGACCACTGAGCTGCACTCTCAGTCTCACACATTGCTTGACTTCTTTCTCCCCACTACACTGCAACCTGTTTGTTTTCTCCATAAGTGATAAAAAAGCATATCATTTGAAATATTGATACTATTGTTCCTTGTATATTGGTTCATTTGTTTTGAGACAGGGCCCTGCTCCATCATCCAGTCTGGCTGTGAGCTCGTAAGAGTCCGCTCTGCTCAACCCCCCAAAGAGATGGGACCACAGGTCCAGGTCCCCATACCTAGCTTCAGATTCGCTATTCTCACTCTGAGTTAAACTTCGCATTCCTCTTTCTGACAGAAAGGGTGGGGTCCAATTGGCTCAACTGACCTTTCAAATAACTGCTCTATCTGTAACAAGTGACAAGTGTATGCATACTTTATGAAATACTGTTCTGGGAGGACTTTAGAGACAATATGAAATGACCAAACAGAAAAACAGAAATCAGTTTAGATTCGCTAAGAATTTTGTGTTTTACTTTCTTCCAATCTTAAGATTCATCATAAAAACATCTTTTCTTCACAATCAAAAATATTGCCCAGCTAAACAATGAATTTCGGTTAAGGAGAGAGAACTTTTATCAGAGAAAGCAATAACGACTTCTGTTATTTTAGATTAAAATCTTTAAAACTTAAATTTTTTTTCAGTTTCACTTTTTAAACTTTCATTGTGAAAAGTCTGAGAAGATGTGCAGCATTTTGATCTAACTAAAGACAGTAACAAAGTGAAAGTATGGGAAGATTTGCTTTCGCCTGAAGAAACTCCTCCTGTGAACAGCAAAGTTAAAGTTGATTAAAATTCAAATGCTCACTTTAACGAAAAATTCAGTTTTCTGACTGCACAGCTGATACCTTGCTTTTAAGAATCCCACAGGAGTCGGTAGTATAGCTCAGTGGTAAGGTGCTTGCCTAGCACACACAAAATCCTTCAATCCCTAGCACTACAGACAGAGAGATGGACGGAGGGATGGAAGGATGGATGGACCGACGATCAGACAGATAGACAAAAAGGCATCCTAAATAGAAGATTTAGTTCTCAGCTGCTCAATTACATGTTCAAACAAATGAAAGGCATTCCAACAAAAATGAAGGCCGTGCAAACATGAAACCATTTCTCCTTGTGCTGCGGAAGTTTTCTCTGCAGGGCTCAGTGTCTGCCCAGTCTTGTTTCCTGGTACCACTATCTCAGAGACCTGATGTAGACTTAGACCCAATGGGCCATTAGCAGTCAGTCCTTGCAGAGCTTTGGCAGAAGCATGAATTGATCAGTAGGTGAGACTTTGTACCCTGGGCCTAGGCACTAGAAAGATAAGCAAAGAGGATTATTAACTGGGCAACAATACCTTTGCATCAAAATGTAATGAAAGCTGTCAGCTCTAAGAAGCTTTATGAAAAATGAGTTTCAAATCATACAAAATCTCTACTATTTATCATAAATGTCCAGTATGCTACAATAAACAAAATTTATAAATAAGAAGTCTTCATGCACACCATATAAATTGGCAAACAAATTTTTCACACTGTGGATCTGTTTTACTACAGATAGTTTTATCTGATCTGTCATTCTTTTTAACCACAAATTGTATTTAAAATACTTCCAGAGAGCCACTCAGGCTTGACTTAGCCAAACACCATGAACATGAGAAAAAATAAATCTTTTGCTTTGATTTGTGCATCTTTAGCACTGTAGAATCAGGAGCAGACGTGCAGGTTGAAATGTATGACTGCTACACATAGAGTATTTGCAAACGCTATGGAAGAAATTGTGAGTTAGTAACTTACATTAATTTTGTCTTTTAAATAGGAGACAATCGTTTTGGATGTTTTGGATGAAGTAAATCTCTCTAACACACACAGAGTCCTTGCTCTATGAATGCTTTCTGTGAGGCTCTTACATGCGTGTCTGTAGCCACAGGGGGGCACACTCACATCGTGTGTTTTTTAACCTGAATGTTGCAAATGTAAATTTGGGTTACCAATAACTTTAAAGAAACAGATAATAAAATCCAATTAAGAATAAGTACATTTTGTGCTTTTAGCTCCATTGCATATGGCCTCTTCTGGTAATAATGATGTGCATAGCTTAGTTGAATTCATGAGTAACAAAGCTATTGAAACAGCTTCAAATGTGTGGTGTTCTGTAGATACATAATCTCCTCTCATCATCTTGTTAGATTTTTTGTCATTTTAAAGCTGTTGTTTAAATCTAAGCGACCATTAATTTTGCAGAGCATGCTTTTCCTTTAATCTGCATTGTGTTTCAAATGCTGATTAGCTCTCAGAATAAAGTAGAAGAAAAATAATTTGAAGGCTGACAACTACTAGCTTTGCGAGTTGTAATCAATGGCCTGCTTATTAATGTGTCTTTCCAGTAAATCAAAGTAAAATTCCATTGTGCTAAAGCATGAACTATCTCATTATTCTGTTCATTACAGCTTCCTTAAATACCACTCCATCCAAGCAGGAGGAAGATGGGGCTCTGCGACATTTTCCCTTACGACTACTGCCACTGCCGACACACTCCGCATTAGTAACAGCACATTTTTTTAAGCTCTATTTGTCACACTAGTTAAGCAATAAATAGAGTCACATGAAATGAAAAGACCCTAACTCACTCCAGAGAGATAGGAATAGCCCTCTAATTATTATACTTTCCAGAGAAGGAAAAATATATGAGACCCACAGGCAAAGCCATTATTTTATTTGAAAAACATTCATGCTTTTTATGCTTAAATGAAACCAAGAACATATATGTGGTTGAAAAACATTTTTCAATGTATATTGCTGTGAATTTTCACTCATGAAAATTAAAAAATAGCCAACTATTAACTTCCATTACAATATCAACACCAATTGTCAATATTTATATTTTAATGCGTTAAAAGCCTTCCAGTGGAGGACTAGTGCTATGAAGTTTACCACACAAAGAATCCACCCAGAACACCAGAAAAACTGATTACCTATCCTACAATTACCTTATTCACTTAAAAATCTGAATATTTTATTTCACTTAAAAATATTGGTAGAGAAGTGTACATTTAGATAAAACACGAAGAACGTGAGATAATTTACCACCAAAGAAACAACTATATTTCCCTTGGAATTCAAGTCAGTGGTTCTGCCATCTCACAATGTGACCACAAATCCTTAGTCTCTCCTAGACCCAAAACTCCATCACTGAACAGGGTTGTTCACATGTGTGAGGCACTCCCCAGGGATACCAGCAGAGGAACATGATCATTTCCACCCTCAAAACAAAAAAAGATGCACACAGACCACTTCTTCCACCTAAAAAGGGAACACAGGTGCTTGTTCTCTTTTCACCATTCTGTTCCCTATAAATGTGAAGGAGAGTGGTAATGGGGTTCAGGACATGCTGCCACAGATACCTTGGCTTTTGAGCAAACAGCAGAGGCAAGAGGGTTTCTGTGACCTTTGCCCTCCCATCTCTGAAGAACGGCCACAGAAAGTTCTGTGACCTTCCTCAAAAGTAGGTCAAAGATAGGAAACCACCGAAGAGTAAAGGGCTTCTGGGATGTGGGAAAAGAGAAGGGAAAGAAGGAGAAATTTTGTATGTATGTATATACAGGAT